ACACACACACACACACACACACACACACACACACACACACACACACAATAATGGGTGAGTGGTTCCTAGATCCTATTAGAGAAAAAATTAAAAATTCTGGACAAGTAACTCCCTAACTGTACTGGACACTGGCTGAAAGTGAGCAGGTGTTAAAAGAAAGTGTGCTAAGTTAACAGTAGGAGGAGGTGAGCAAAGACCTAACTTCCAGTTTTATGGCTTTTACGGCTTTCATCCAGGGTAAGGCTGTAGCCTGACATCTGGAATTTTCACACACCACTGGCGAGAGCGAAAAACAGATCAAACACCCTGGAGAAGCCGCCCTGCCCCAGTACTCCTACTCTGGGGTATTCACTGAAGAGACACGAGAATGCACTTCTACAAAGTTGCTCTACAACAACACGCACAGCAGCCTTAGATGTAGTGTGGCCCTGAGGCAAAAACCCAAAGTTCATCAAGAGAAGAAAAGACAAGCTGCGGCTCATGCACCAGGACACTGCCTTAGCAGTGAAAAGCCGTCCTCGGCATTCAACACACACAAACCTCATAATCATTATGAGGCATGAAGCAGCGTCTATTCTTGACTGCACTGGCAGCCCTGGAGACCAAACCTAAAGACTCAGCTGCTGGGCAAGGGCTCGCCCACTGAGCAGCCCTCCCAGCCCCTGACCAACTTTTTAAATGGGTAGAGCATTAGAGGAAGTCACTCGCACCCACACCCACACCCCAAAACCTCAAAGTGCAAACAACAGGAAATCATATTCGCAACAGATTCGTGAACACAAGTGAAACTGAGATACCAACTGTAAGAACAGACAGACTAACCTATGTCCATGCCAGTCAGAGGTGACCGAGGAGAACTGATTCTGAAAGGACACGGAAGAGGGGCTGGGCTGTGGCAGGGCCACGCAGTTCATGTGTGCAGGGCTAGGGGTCTGATCCTCCACATCACAGAAAGAAAGGCAAGGCACAAGGGAATCTTCCAAAGGATGAAAATGGTCTACACCCTGACTGCCTGTGGAAACGTGTCAAACTCAACTCAGCTGTGTTCAGGTTAAACCGGGAGTGATGGCGCATGCCTCTAATCCCAACTCTAGAGAAACCAAAGCAGGCAATCTCTCAGTTTTAAGGACAGCTTGGTCTACACAGTGAGACTAACAAAACAAAAATAACCCAATGCAACAAAAATTTGCATAATTTATTGGATGTAAATTCTACTTTAAAAAAAAAAAGGGAAGGCAGAGAGAAACTTCTTTGCCATGTATGGAGCTTTCTGTGCTTTTCTACTCCAGTTGCTAGAAACTGGGAGGCTAACTTCATTCCTCAGAAACTGCTTCCAAGTGTACGGGTTCATCACCTGCAAATGTGCAATTACCAAGGGCTCAGTTAAAGCCTGAAGTGAGGGTCTAACACACTCTCAGCATCGGGGAGGCTGAGGCAGGACAGCATTCAAAGCCATTCCCAACTGTACAGGAAAACCCTGTATTAAAAACAAAAGCTCCATTATTAAAACAGATGACACCTAACCTCATGGCAGCTGGGCTTTAAAAGACAAACTGGACAGTAATGTAACGGCAGAGGCGAAAGTGCACTGACAAGCAGGGAAGCCGCTTTTCCAGGCTTGAATGACACAGACACATGGAAATGGAAGCCCTGAACACTTGTTCCAGGAAGGATGCTAGAGCACGAAGAGGAAAAACAGAGAGTTTAACTGAATAACTAGATGAAATTCTGTTTCTTTCTTTAACTAGGGAACACAGGAATACATACCCTCCACTTTTTATCTGGGCGAGCAAGCGGGATAAATCTTCCATCAAACATATGAGAAAATGGCCCATGACCTAAAAACAAAAGCAGCCTTCAAATTAAAAAAAAAAAAAAAAGTAAATTGGTAAAAACTGAGTTCTCTTTATTTTTTTTTTTTTTAAAGATTTATTACATACACAGTGTTCTGCCTGTATGTACACCTGTGTACCAGAAGAGGGCACTGATGACTATGAGCCACCATGTGGGTGCTGGGAATTGAACTCTGGACCTTTCGAAGAGCAGACAGTGCTCTTAACCACTGAGCCATCTCTCCATCCCCCCCAAAACCTGAATTCATATATATATATTCATATATATATTAAACTAATATATATATTAGTTTATTTTGAATATTAATAGCTACTGTTGATCATCTGTAAATGAATAAAAAAACAACAACAAAAAAGGAAAAGGACAAATCTGTCCTTTCAATTTTCTAAAACAATAAGAGGTAAAACCATTTTGGAAAGTTAACCCTCCTTAGATCAGTCTGCAGTTTTGTATTAACTACAAGGAATGCTGAGAGTTTTTCATAAAATAAAATAATAAAATAAAAATCAAGGTTTACATATTTAGGGCTGGGGTTGCAGCTCACTGGGAGAGCCAATGACTGACACACACAGGTCCTACATTTGAGTCCAATCACCAAAAACAAAAACCAAAAAGTACACAAGAACCAACTATCTTCTAAGAAGGGTAACTGAGCCTACAAAAACCTCAGAACAGAATGCTGACAGAAAAACAGGTTCTGTCCCTTTAGAACCTGTCCACGGAAACACAAGCTCACGCATGCACACTCTCTCTCCTGTAACTAGAGGCTGGGTAGTCGTCTTTTTCTTTCTCAAGGATGAAAAGGATGATATTCTTCTGCTTGGATCTAATTGGCCTAAGACCTCCAGTGAGTCAGGGAAGTATTTCTTAAACTGGTTGTAGTTGTGAAAAGGGATGGGTTTAACAAAGAAATCAAAGCAATTTTAGTCAATGAGAAGGATAAAAGAAAAAAAAAATCACACCTCCATTATCCTAAAGACAGAGTAAGAAAACTCCCTGTCAGAAAGCCCTTTCAGCCCAGCTCGGTGGCTCATGGTTGTAATCTCAACACTCAGGAGGCAGAAACAGGAGGACTGCCATGAGTTTGAGGCTAGTCTGGGCTATATAGTGAGTTCTAGGACAGCTTGGGTTACCCTGTCTCACAAATTAATTAATAATAGGTAAGTGAATAATACCTTTTATGTGACATAGTAAAGATACTTAATATGGAAAATTCAGAAGTAATAGCAATGTTTTGTCCTTAGCAATAATATTAGAAAGAATCCAAGGCACACCGTGATTAATGAAAAATTAAAATACTGCCAGGTGGTGGTGGCAGAAACTTTTAATCCTAGTGGCAGGGGCAGGTGGATCTCTGAGTTTGAGGACAACCTGGTCTGCAGAGTAAATTTCAAGACACCCAGGGCTACACAGAGAAACCCTGTCTCGAAAAACCGAAGTGGGGCAAGGAGGAGAAAAGAAAAATGAAGATACTTGTACATTTCCTTTCTAGGCTGAGCTCTGAATGCCAAGCAGAGGCAGCATGCTGGGTCTTACAGGACACACTGGCCCTGAGGAGCTTACCGAGGTCGTGGCACAGTCCCGCAATCTGAACGCAGAGAATATCCCGCTCACTGATCTGCAGCTCTGGCTGTTTTTCAGCGAGTGCTCGTACAAGGCATCCTGCCAGGTACCCCACCCTGTGGAAAAAGAAAAAAAGAGACCAAAAGTCACATTTTGGTTTGAAAGACGAGAGATAACTGCAACTTGAAACTTTTGATTCTGAGAATTGGCTCTGTGATGTTCCAATACAGAAGGAAGGCAGGGGCTCAGCAGGCTGAGATGTGGTTCTCTGCAACACTTGACAAGCATGTTTGAGATCCTGGGCTTAATCCCCAGCAAAGCAAACAAAAACAAAATAAACAAATGGTAGAACAAATGTAAAGCACTCCCCAACACTTCTTTCTGAAAGGAAGTCCTTAAAAAAAAAAAAAATCTTCTTTCCTCTGCCCTGAACTCAGATCTAAAAGGTAGATAATTTGTGCCCTGGAAGGTTCTAGTAAGTGCTCAATAAATACCATTTATGATTTCAGTATAGGTACATGTATCTTGCTACTGGACCTGGACAGATGGCACACACCTGTAATGACTCCCGAATTTGGGACCAGTCTAGGCTGTTTAATGAAACCCTGAACAAAAGGAGAAAGAGAAAAGCCTAGATAACAAAATGAAAACCACAAAGTAAATTAAAACAAACGAATATTTAACTACTAATTATTCTCTGTCCACTTCCCCCAGCTCTACACGAAACGGGAAATGCACAGCAAAGTTCCAACTTCACCGCATACACAAAGACGACCCTCTCACCGCTTACAAGCGTTCCTCTAACTTCCATATTTCCTGACATAATTATTTCGTTTAAAAGGGTGACTCTAAACCACAAAATAGGACCCAGGCACGGTGGCGTGTGTCCAGAAACTCAGTTCTTGGGAGATGAGGAGGGAGGACACTGAGTTTGGGGTGGAGCCCTGTCCCAGAGGAAAAGAAACGAAAGGACTTAGAAAGGGATTAAAGGAATAGTAGTCAGAATTTACAGGTAGTTATGCCAGCAGCCAACCCTATTCAGTTCAAGTATTCACAGACAAGTATTTAATCCAACAGACATTGGGTTTTTGGAAGGATATGAGGTAGTTTAAAAAACACATAAACAAAACCTGGTAAGCAGGGATCCAAGGTCTCAGTTTTCTCACACTGTGGGAAGTGCTCCCTGAGAGAGCAAATGAGCTAGCAGGGGTAGGTGGCATGCTCCCCTCGCCCGCCTTTCCCTTCTTACCCTAGACTGTGTTCAAACCGGTTGTGAGAAGCTCCGGGGAAGACATAGTAGCCGCCTCCCAGCTGCTTGATGTATCGGAGCCGCTGGAACTGGGGTGTGTCAATGATTCGGATGAGGAGGGGGTGGAACTCAATGTGGCCATGAATGGGATCATTAAACACCTGGAAAATTATGTTTAAAAGGTTGTCCTCTGACCTCCGCATGCCCGCACAGGCACATGCATGTCCCTCTCTCACACATGCACAGAAACAATAAATACAACTTTAAAAACCACCTTTAACAGCTAATGTTGTAATATATACAATTTCCTTTTTCATATCAAAACGAACAGTGAACATTACCTATCCTTATATAATAATCACTTTGATAGTTCAATTTCATTAATGAACAACTAAAATAAAAAAATTGTGATATTCTACTCGTTTTTTATTTTATGAGTGTTTGCTTATATTTGTGCACCATGTGTGCTTGGAGAATATTAATGTTTCTAATCCTGCTCTGTAAGTCACTTTAATGCTTATCATAAGCTACACCAAGTTTATCATTACTAACAATACTCAGGGAATGGTATCAAAGCCCACAGGAAGAGAAGGAACCAAGATTACCAAAATGAAATCCTCTGGACATCCTTATCATATAAGACCACGTTCAGTGATCTCTAAATATTTAATCATAAACACACCTATTCCTCCTAACAGAAGATCAACCTGACCACCACAGACAAGTGAGAACATATTTTGCTACTAAAGATTGTCAAAGAAATTATATAACCTACTTTTAATCCATTTAAGCCTAAAACACCTTTACTGTCAATTTCTCAAGTGGCAATACTTGTTCATAAAATACTTACTTCATCCTAAATCCATTAAAAAGAAATAAATTTAAGTTATTTTTGAAAAATGGACTCAGCGAAAACTCTGTTTTGAGCTGGAGAGATGGCTTAGCAGATAGAAGCAACTGCTGTGTAATCAGACCTGAGTTCAGTTCCCGGGACACAGAGTAGAAAGAGAGCACCAACTCCAGGGAGCTATCCTCTAACCTCCACATGCCCACACTGGCACATCCACGCCGCTCCATCACACAGACACAGAAACAAGAAAACCTTTAACAGTTAACATCAAAATGAACAGTGAGCACTTTATGCTTTCATATGATAATCATTTTTTTTGGTTTTCCGAATAATAATCACTTAAATGGCTTTATTTTATTAATGAACAGCTAAAAGAATTTTTACTGGAGATTCTGTTTGTTTTTTATTATGTGACTGTTTGCCTGATCACGTGTCTACACACCGTGTGTGTGTGTGTCCACTGTATGGGTGGTGGTCAGAGGACAACCTGAATGAATTGGTCCTCTCCTACCATGTGGGTCCTCAGGATTGAACTCAGGGTGTCAGGCTTGTCACTGAGCTATCTCACACACCCTGATGAACATTAAAAACTATTTCTTTAATGTTAAGTATTAACTTATTGAAAATAATGTCATATAATTTTATATATTCTCTTCCTAATGTTTAGTGAATACATGTGATATTTAAGTGTTTTGACCACTATTTTATAATTGGTCACATCTATCTATCTATCTTTGGCTTCTTGAGACAGGATCTATCTATGTAGCATTTGCTGTCCTGGAATTAGCTCTGTAGACCAGGCCGGCCTCAAACTCACAAAGATCCACCTGCCTCTGCCTCCCAAGTGCTGGGACGAAAGGAGTATGTCATCATTGCTTGGTGGTCATTTTATTTTTACTATTATTACTTGACATAAATGATTCCTTACATAGTCACATGGTCTACTTATGACTTGTAGCAGCTGTGTGGTATTCTAGTCTAGTTCTAACCAGCGAGATAATACAGTCCCGTTAACTGTTTAGTCTACTGTACATGCCAAGCAGAGTGGGTAAGAAATCAGTCAGGAGCCATTCCTGTACTCTGGGAGAGACAGTAAACTCTGTCCAGAGTTAGAGAAACAAAATTCCTAGCACCCACACGGCAGCTCACAACCACCCGTAACTCCAGTTCCAGGGCACTGATGCCTTCTTCTGGCCTCCATGGGCATCATGTATGAAAGTGGTACAAAGATATACATGTAGGCAAAACACCCATAAACACAGAAAAAAAATTAATTAAATAAAACCTGAAAAATAAAAACTTGTTGGATATGGTGGTGCACGCTTTTAATCCAGAAATATGTGGATCTCTGTGAGTTCGAGGCCAGCCTGGTCTACAAAACAAGCTTCAGGTTAGTCCGGGCTATGTAGTAAGCTACTCTCTCAAAAATGATAGATAGACAGACAGATAGATGGATAGATAGATAGACAGATAGATAGATAGATAGATAGATAGATAGATAGATAGATATAAAAATTAAAACTTAATTGTTGGTATAATGTTCTTTTGGAATATATACACCTTACCCTTGTTCATTCAAATGCTGATTTCTCTCCCCCACTCTCTGGTTTCAATCTGGACATTGCATTATGATACTTATTCTAAGCATCACCTGTCTCAACTTTGTGTAAACATGCCAAAATAAAACAACCACCCCCAATGTGGAACAATGGAGAGGAAGGAGTAGGAGGGAGAGGAGGAGGGAAGCAGAGGAGAGAAGCTGGGAGAGCAGAGGCTGGAGGAGAGGTCTTGGAACAACGTGGAGAGATGGACTGGACCCAAGATTATCACTAAAAGCAATTATAATGGGTAAAATCTGAATAGCAGGAAACGATGTGGGCTTGGAGGTTTAGGATGGAATAACTATTGCCCAGCATTGTGCTCTAGGTTAATTAAATAAATTCTAGTCTCTGTGTGGTGACTTGGTTATATAGCTGTTTAGGATTAACCACAGCTTTACTAAAAGATAAATTAATAGTAAATATTAATGACCAAATACAACACCTAACAAATAAAATTAATCCTATGTTTGCAGGTTACTAGGACGTTTGTGTCAATGCAGATGACTAGAATAATATCACATGGCTAGAGAGATGGCTCAGGGGGTAAAGACACTTGAAGCCAGGACTCAACGGCCTGAATTCTATCCTCAGCACCCACATAGTGGAGGGAGAAAACTGACTCTCAAAAGTTGTCTTCTGAACACTGCACTTGGGCTATGACACTTGTATGTACTATGTACATACATACATACACACACACACAAGATGATATCGTAAGTCCAAGTTTTGTTTGTTTGGTTTTTCTGAGACAGGGTGTGGTGGTTTGAATAGACATGGCCGCCACAGACTCATGTGTTTGAATGCTTGGCCCATAGCAGGTGGTGCTAATAGGACATGTGGCCTTGCTGGAGGAGATGTGTCACTGTTGGGTGGCGGGCTCTGAGGTCTGACACAGGCTTACGACAAGCCTGCAGTTACACAGAGTCTCCTGATGCCTGCAGATCGAGACGCAGACAGAACGCTCAGCTCCCTCTCAGCACCATGTCTGCCTGCATGTCATCTGCCATGATGATAATGGACTAAACCTCTGGCACCATAAGCCAGCCCGGATTAAATGTTTCCTTTAGCTCCTGGTGTCTCTTCACGGCAATAAGATCCTAAGACACAGGGTTTCTCTGTGCAGCCTTGGCTCTCCTGGCTCACTCTATAGACAAGGCTGGCCTCAAGTTCACAGAGATCTGCCTCCTCAGGACTGGGATTAAACGTGTGCACCACTACACCTGGCTGACAAGGTTTGTCTTAATTACTGTTCTATTGCCATGTATAAAAGAAATCATTTGACTGGGGTCTCACAGTTTCAGTGTGTGAGAGACCATGAGCAAATCAAAGTTTTAACTTGTGCTACAAAAGACCATTTATATAAAGTCAATGCTGCTTGTGCGCTAGAGTCCTCTTACCTTCATTAGATCAATGTGAGATTGAGGCAGTGTTTTGATACAGTCAATCATCCTCTTCCTCTCTTCCGAGGAACTAAAATTGAAACAACAATAAGTAAACATATCAGTGCTGGCTTAGTAATAATTCCAGGGGTACTGGAAGCATGTGGGCAGCTTTGGAGTATCTACACCAATAAAAAGAAAAAACAGATTAGAAGGAATAACCAATAACTCAAACATAATCCCAGAAACTTTCTCTGTTCCCATAAGAAGTGTTAGGTCAGGGAGGAGGGAGGAGCTTACGGGGGGATAAAAAAAAAAGTGAATAAAGTGTAATTAATAAAAATAAAATTAAAAAAAAAAGTGTTAGGTCACAAAGCAGGGCCCTAAAATGACAATGCTGCTGACAATGGCCTACATGGATGCCCCAGGCTCAACCCAGGCCAGATTCTTACCAGGTAAACAGAAACTTCAACTCCGCATTCCTCAGCAACCTCATAACATCATTCTGTTGTTGTTGTTTTGTTTTGTTGGTCAGGACAGCCACTACCTGTCTCTACCTTGGATGGTCATCTAGTTTCCATTTAACCTTTAACAGCCTGCATCAGCTCAGGGACCTCCACCCTGTGGACTGTCACATCAAATCCACTTGCTTTTCTCCACTGGGTGGCTGCTCTCTACTCTCTGATGCAGCCCATCAGTTTGTCCCCCAATAACCTACCTACCTAAGGAGTGGTCTGGTTGGTGTTTTGTTGAGCTTGCTTACACGAGGTTCCTGCCGAACCAAGGGAGTCCATCCAGCCTTCTGCTGAGTTAGGACTCAAGCATGAACTAGCATCTGTGAGGGTTTAAGTTTTGTATTTCATCTTCCCTTATCTATGATTCTCCAGCCGGGGACATAACCTTATGGGAACTCTACCTGAACTGCTTGGAATCTTATCATATCCTGCTTCATTAGCAATGGTTCAGTGCTTGAACACATCTGGCTGAGATGTTAACAAAAACAGCAGCAGTAGGCATTAGCATCCCTGCCCATTCTACTGCTCTTTTTTCAGGATGAAAAATATATATTTTGTTAAAAGTCTTAATAGACTTGAAGTCAGAAGCACCACAATTGGCCTCTTTGTTGTACTGAAACTCACGGCAAAAACTAAATATAGGAATGATTTTCACAGGATGTACAGAGACATTATTAAGCTGATAAATTAGAAAGGAACAAAATTAATACACCTTAGAATGTGTGTGAGTGCGTGCGTGCGTGCGTGCGTGTGTGTGTGTGTGTGTGTGTGTGTGTTTTCTCCATAGCCGAGGCCGGCCTGGAACTTAAAGTGTAGCCGAGGCTAACCTGGAACTCACAACAGTCCTCCTAATAAACAATGTTCACTTTCTAGAAAAACCTTCATAAATCACTATTTAATCAAAAATTTAAGTAATACAAAAAGTGTTTGTCTAAACAGGACTCCCCTGTTTGTCTAAATAGGACTCTCCAACACAGAGCTTAGGATTTGGGGGTGTATAGCCTGGAAACAGTAGTTGGGGACTAGGGCCCGACTTCAATCCCAGCAGAGGCAGAGGCAGGGGGATCCACCGCAGACTTGCTGTTCCTTTGGGGTACTAGTGTCCCATGGAAAACAACTATTGAAAAATGAAGTCTGGACTAATTCACACATTATGCCTCCATAGATGGTTTAGGATTTTATCTATCACCTTAAGCACTTTCACCTTTCCTAGTTACTGCATTATGTCTCCTCTTACCTTTGACTTTCTCCCTCATCTAGAAACCTTGATCCCAGCAATATGGATTCTCTCTTCTATGCTGCCCAGTCCAGCCAGGTCCTCTCAGGATGTGAGGTGAGCCCATTTGTTTGTTTGTTTGTTTATGAGCAGTTTTATGAGTTTGTTTATAATTTTTAAACATAATGCCAGATTGTTAGTATAATTTTTAAAACTGAGAAACTGATGGTGTAGGTCAGAATTCCATCCGCATAATTTTTATTCCTACAAGAAAGGATATTTTTCCTTTTAGGTGTTCACTGTAATGGCTTTGAGATCCCTTTTTCTTACAGTTCTTATCTCTTCTGGAGGCCTTGAGGTTTCCTTTCCCTTCTCCTTCAACATTTAAAAACATTCAGTGCATCCTCACCTCGGATTCTAGATTGTTCTGTTGAATGTAGGAATTACTGGAAGTAGACAAGCGACTTGCCAGTGTCTTTTGGGAGGTTGTCTTAGTTGGGTTTCTATTGAAGTGGTGAAACACCATGACCAAAAGCAACTTGGTTGGGAAGGAAAAGGTTTGTTTGGCTTATACTTCCATACCACAGTTAATACTCAGCTAAGATCTTTAAAGGGATTTCAACTCTTACATCCCAGAACCTGCAGCCACACACAGAGATATCTGCAGACATGTGTGTACAAAAGCTATAAAGGAACAATTACATGCTTTAACAGTTTATATACACAGACACACCCAGTTCTCAAACAGTCTTAAGAAGACCTACAATAAAAAGAGCGGTAACGTTGAACTTCTTGCTGATTTTTTTCTTGCTGGTTCCTTTATATTTCTAGTGTGATAATCCAATTATTCTGAATTTGAGACTAAAAGTTGGTCACTATAAACTTCACAAATGCTCATCGGAAAAGCTCTTTGAACTAAACCCCACATGTCTATCTAAACACAAGATCCATACAGCAAGGGCATCAGGCACTTTAAAACATGTCACAGTGCTGAAACAAGAATGGGTAGAGCCCGAGATCTTGAGCTTTGTCTGTGAATGACAAATAAAGTGTGTCTGCTCTCACTCTCACAGCCATTTTGTTATTCTTACCTTACTCCAAGATTTTCCAGACTTTTCTCATCCAAAAAGGGCAGAAATGAGCCATTGACTTTATTTCCTGTGGAAGAGGAAAAAGTAAACTCAATTTTCACAACACGTATTTTCCAGTTTCTTTCAGTTTGAATCCATCAGAATTTACTCAGCCTCTATTGACTAAGAACCATGACAGCAGTAAAACCATGTGACCCACAGTCAGGCTTCTGTAGCCACAGATTCCTTAGTTATGGTATTAATGAAAAATATTCAGAAAGAAGCCCTGTACCTGTACTGAACATATAAATACTTATGTTCATTATTGTACATAATATGTAAAACTACTGTACAATAGCTATATTTTATGAGGTATTATAAGTATGATTTAAAGTATACAGATGTGGGTGTACCCAGGTTAGATGAAAACACTGTTATTTTATGTAATGGACTTAAACATCAGATTTTAGTTACCTGCTTGGGTCTTGGAACCAATGCTTCTCAGGTACTGGGACACAAATGCATCATACTTTAAACCACACATACACACACACACACACTGATATACTTAAGACTATATGTAGTATATTTATAAGATATAAAACATAAATCATTTAAAATACTTATTAAATATGTACATATTTAATTTATGTCTGTATGCTGTATGTATGCACCAATCCCAACACACGGAGAGTGCTGTGTCTTCTACCCTCTCTGCCTGTTACTCTGAGCCAAGGTCTCGTTCCTGAACTTGCATTTGGCAGCAATTGCCAGCGATCCTCTTCCTGTCTGTATCCCACCTCACAGATGGGCTTACTGGCGCCTACAGGAAACTCTCATCTTGTCATGTGGGTGCTGAGATCTGAATTCCCGTCCTCGTAATTACGGACCAATCAATCACTCTTAACCACTGAACTATCTCTCTAGCCTTCTCTACCTCATTTCTTTATTTATGGGGTTTTTTGTTTGTGTGTGTGTGTGTGTGTGTGTGTGTGTGTGTGTGTGTGTGTGTTTGAGACAGGATCTCACTATGTAGCTCTAGCTATCCTGGAACTCACTATGGTCACTCTATAAACCAGGCTGGCTTCAAACTCACAGAAATCCACTTGCCCCTGCCTCCCAAGTGCCTCCCAAGTGCCTTATCTCTGGGATAAGGCACTTTTTTTTAGAAGGAGAAGAAAAGAAAGGAAGGAAGAGAGAAAGAAAGAGAAGAAAAGAAAAAGGTTCCTAAGGATTGAATCCAGGTCTTTGTACATAGCAAGGAAGCCTTCTACTGCTGGGCTACATTCCCCAGCCTGTACCATCCTTTTGATCCTCTACTTTTAAAATCTTAATTAGGTAACTAACCTAAGAACTATTTTGATGAGGCAGATGAACATTTACTAATTATCTGTGAGGAAGACAATGGGAACAGTAAAGTGGAACCTAATTATTTGTGAGGTTCTGCCAGGTCAGCAGCTTCCTGTTTTAAAAGTCAGGGCTGGAGGCGGGGTTAAATTTAAACCAGTTGTTCTTAGAATCATCTAGTCAAAACCAGACTGAGGAGTACCCAGAGTTTTATTTCTAAAACATCCTCTTGTTGGGGTGGAGGGGCGTCTGGAGAGATGGCTCAGAGGTTAAGAATGCTGGCTGTTCTTCCAAAGGTCCTGAGTTCAATTCCCAGCAACCACAGGGTGGCTCATGTTCAGTTCCCAGCAACCACAGGGTGGCTCGTAACCATCTACAGTGAGCTCTGGTACGCAGGCACACATGCAGACAGAATGCTGTAGAAATATAAATAAATCTTAAAAACAAACAAAACACCCTCTGAGAGTACACAATAATCTGTTTTGAAAGAATTATATATACACATATGAACATATATTTTTTTTCTTTCCAAATAGCTAATTCTAGCTCTTCTTGAGCTGAGATTAGAGAATTCTGAACTATTTCACAGAAACAAAAACCTTCTTTCTCAGCATAACAAGAGAAAATGAAAAGTGTTTTTCTGAGGAAAAAAAAAAAAAGGTTTTGTATCTTTTCTATCATGAAAAAGTTACTCAATGTAAAAAGTCCAAATAATATTAAAAAGTACAAAACGCCAGTTTACTTAAGTTCAAGCTGATACCTACTGTTAACATTTTGAGATAACGCATTTATCTATATACAATTATGTAATTTGACATATAAAAGATTGTCATATAACCAATTTTTTCCCCATTCAGTATCCTAAACATAGTTCTCAATGACGAAAGTCGGTATCTTTCTTAATGGACACTTTATATTCTACAACATATACAACTCATAATACATTTTATATGAGCGTGCACTTGTGTGGGGGTGCATTTGCACATCTGTGCACCTGCCTGTTGAAAGCTGGAGGTCAGTGTCAGGTGTCTTCCTTAATTACTCCTGTTTTTCTAAGATTTATTCACGTTTTCATTTATGTGTATAGGAGTCTGTGTGAGCTTATGTGTACAATTCAGACAGAGTGCTCGGCCAGGAAACCTTAGGATCCTACTGGTCCCTGCCTCCTCACTTCTGAGATTATAAGTATGCACCATAAGCTTGCAAAATGGGTACAACAGTACTTCATATAACGTATATACATAATAAATGTTAGCCATCACTATTTACTGTAAGCCAGAAAGTACTGCCAAATAGTCCATAGCTGAGCCAATGGCCACGTCTATCGACTTTACTGGTATACATATTTCACCTGATAATCCTTTCTAATTATTAAACTAAAAACCAGTTTATTTAATTTTCCTATTGAGATGGAACTGCTCTACTTGTATTCACTGGGTGGTTGTTAATGGTCTCTCCTTGTTCTCTCACTCCTTTTTCTGTTGGGTAGATTATTTTTTCCCTTGCTCCTAGCTGATTTCCTAATTTTGCCTGTGTTCTCCGATGGTGTTTTGTTTTTAGATAAGACCTCATTAATGTATCCTTGGATGGGCTGAAGACCTGGGACTGGAAGTTTTGATTGTTTTTTTCAGTCTCCCAAATAGTAGGGGTATGGGAATATGTTCCCCAGTAATTTTTAGTGAGAATACTAGTTAAGAAATAACTGGAGTGCACGCCTGTAATCCAAGCATTCAGGGAGGCAGAGACAGGCAGATCTTTGTGAGATTGAGGCCAGCCTGGTCTACAAAGTGAGTCTAGGACAGCCAACGCTAAACAGAGAAACTCTGTCTTGAAAAAAGGAGGAGGAGGAAGAGAAGAATGAGAAGGAGGAGGAGGAAAGAAATAAAGAAATAACTGGAATGAATTCTGGAATCCAGAGACTTAACCTTTAGTCCAACTCTGTATTGTCTAATGACTTTGGAAAGTTACTTAACATCTTTGGCTATCAAAACATCATCTGAGGCAGGAATAAGATAAGACGGCTTATCACATAAGAGCACATACTGTTCTGCAGAGGACTAAGTTCAGACACCAGCTTTAGACCTTACGCAACTGCCTATAACTCCAGCTCCAGAGGTTTGGGCGCCCTCTTCTGGCATCCATGGACACTGCACTCATATGCAGACCCACAGACCTCCCTTCACTCTGTTCATTCTCCAACCCTATACAACCATAATTTAATAACAGTAAGGCCAGAAGCGATAACTCAGCTGTTAGGAGCACTCACTGCTCTTGCCGAGGGCTCTGATTCAGTTCTCAACACCCCTACGACAGCTCACAACCATGTGTAATTCCAGTTTCTAGGAGCTGTATCATCTTCTGGCTTCAAGGACACCAGGCTCATACATGGTGCACATATACACACACGAAGGCAGAACACACATACATAAAAAATTAAAATAAAACATTGCCCGGTGTGGTGGCCTACTCCTTTAATCCCAGTAGTCAGGCGGCAGAGGCAGGTGGATCTCTGAGTCGAGGCTAGGCTGGTCTACAGAGCAAGTTCCAGGGCAGCTAGGACTGACTCCTGACTACTGAGACACCCTGGCTTAGCCTCTTGCCCCGCCCCCACCAAAAAAAAGTTACTTTCCTGTGGAGGAAGCCGGGAAGGGAAAAAAGAAATGTGAGTTCCTACATTTCAGCTACCTTTATGTCCTGAACTTTCAACTTCGAACTCAGTCCTTCAGTTAGGCACACAGGACTGCCCCACAAGAAGCAAAGCTTACTGAATTTGCAACGCACAACCACGGAAGAGAGATTTCCCGCTCAAACACCTCAGGAGATCATGCTTAGCACACACCACAAAAAAAAGTGGAGCAGGTTCCAAACGTTTGACTGCATGAGCAAGAACCAGAAGAGTCACTTAAAACCCTCAGCCTGTACCCTCCCCTCTCTGTGGCCAAGCTGTGGAATGTTGGGGGTCCAGGGGTCAACTGACTGGCTGTTCTTATTTCTGGAAGAGAAACTGCTCAGTAGTCCTCTGCAAATGCGGTCGGCACATACTGAACCCTCCTGGGACGCTACGGTAGCCAGGGAGAATCCAGAGATTAACCAACTTCCCCTTTTAGAGAACCCCCCCAAATCCCCGGAAGGGCTTACTAGTGAAACTTAAAAGCGCCCCAAATCTCTGATGGGGCCAAGTGTTCCGGGAGCTGCGGTTAGCTCAGAAGGATCTCCCTAAACAGGTGAGCCTCAAAGACCGCAAGCCACTGCCCGAGGTCTGGCGCTAAGTCTTCTAGAAGGGCGAGGATCTCTCCTGTCCGCAGAAGAGGTGACAAGTTCCTGGGGAGACCCATGCACCAGAAGTGAATGCAACCTTCCCTGTGCTTCCCGGGTTCGAAGCCCCCCAGAGCCGGAACCTTATGGGCTCGTACTTCTGTGCCCACCTTGCGTAGACCGTCTCTGGACGGCTCTCGTGGGGAGCCCGCCTCAGGTTCGGGTTCCCGCCGCCAGCCGCTTCCCCCAGGGGCCTCCCCCTCCCGCGTGGGTCCTCTCCGCTCGGCTGCTCGGTCACCATCCCTGGTCCCTCAGCCCAGCTACCTCTGAAGCTGTCCAGCACTTTCTCCTCTCGGAAGCCACACTCCTTTAAGAAGGAGCACACGTCCTCGGGCTCCCACTTTCGGATGTCCAAGTACGGAGACGCGCTCGTCGCTGCAGGACGGGTGCTCGGTGGAGTCCTTGGGCTGCCATCGCAGCGGGGCCGCTTAGCAGGCTGCTCCGGCTCTGCTCTCTGCATGGCTACCTCCGACACCCGGCGCAGCGAAGTCAAGAACCGCGGCACTCGGCTGGCGCGCAGTCGCACTGACGCCGCAGCCCTCAAGGCGAGCCCTTTTAGCATTGCCAGCCTCCCTAGTGCGCAGGCGCGCTGGACATCGGCCCTGGGAGCGTGGCCTCCCTGGGGCGCTAGCGCCCGGCCTATTGCGCAAGCGTAATGACTGTGCGGCCTCCCTTAACCCCGCCCTAGTTTCTCCAAAAGGGCGGAGTTATTAGAGAAACAAAACTTAAGGGTTGTAGTTAAGGGTGGAGAGTCCAGTAAGGACACGGCCAGGTTAAGAGGACACCTGGGCCTAATGAAGGTTCCACCACACTCCAGACTAAAGGCTCTTCTAGTGAACTGCAGGTACCTTTCTCGAAACAAGTACTTTTTGCCGGGTTTCAAACACTCCGTGCTGTAAACCTGTGAAAAAAAAAAAAAAAAAAAAAAAACCTAAAAGGCAACAGAGCTGCCAGCACCATCCCAGTGCGGGGGAAAACAATGGGCAAGGGACTGGCCTAGCTGGAAGACCCTGAAATGATTGACAGCTGGTTCCAGGACTGTCCTTTTGCGTTTCACAGATTCACAGTTAGCTGGCAGAGGACCGCCTGAGGTGCCGAACTTATTTCCAAACAGATAGGATTTTTACTAGTTTCTAGTGTCTGAGTGGTAGGCGTTTCTCTTGCTTTACTTGCTTTAAACCGTTTTGGGGCAGGACCGAAACTTCCCCATAAATCCTTATCCAGGCATTACTAATACGGTGACAACAGCTAATTAAAAAAGCCAACACCTTTTCGGGAAACCGTAACCAGCTAGGTTATTTTAACGTTAAGGAGTAAGAATAAGATGCCTGCTTAGTTGTAAGCCCCACAGCTGCAGGTGAAGCCTAGTAGAACTGAGGCCCCGTGGTCAATCCCCAGCACCAAAAAAAGAACACTAGAAATTTGATAAACCAAGGTATTTTTAGCAGACAGCGCTGTTGTGTTCAGGGCACTGTTCTAAAGGAAAGTGAAATATACAGGCAGGGATGAGAGGGAGAGATGGGGGAAAGGGAGAGAGAAGCAAGAAACGGCAGACAGGGCCTGCTTCTAAGGGCTCTTAATACTTTGTATTAGTCAGCGTTCTCTAAAGGAACAGAAATGATAGAATAAATAGTTATATGTGTATGTGTATTTAAAGGGATTTATTAGACTGGCTTACAGGAGTCAAGTTCATCAACAACTGGCAGTGTGGCTCTGAAAAATGTGGTAATTGTTTGGTCCAGGAGGCTGGTTGTCATAGCAGTCCCGGTCTGGCACTGGAGTCCTGGAGGATTCTTGGAGAGCTGCTGGTCCTCTGTCTACACTGGGATCCCAAAGAAGTCAGCTCTAATGCAAAAGGAACGCCTCGGCAATGGGATAAATGGACATGCCAGTGAGGGGGAGGGAGGTCAAGCAGGCAGAAAGCTGTCCACCCATTTTCACGTCTTTGTATCTGGGCTGTCACCAGAAGATCCCGCCTGGAGTTAGGCTAGGCCTTCCTGTTTTAAATAATCTAATCAAATTTCCAGATGCAGTCAAGTTGTTACCAAGATTTGTCATCACTCGCCGACCCTTCATCTGTTACTTACTGTTTGAAACACAGTCTCTCTCTCTGGGTAGCCTGGCCTGGCCTCGAATTCAGGATCTTCCTGCCTCGGCCTCCTCGGCGCTGAGATTGCAAATGTTAGCCACCACATCATTTCATATATTTCTTGGGTTTTTTAAAATTTGTTTGTTTGTTGTTTCGAGACAGGGTCTCACTATGTAGTTCTAACTGTCCTGGAACTCACTATGTAGCTGGCCTTGAACTGACAGAGATCTGCCTCTGCCTCCCAAGTGCTGGGCTTAAAGGCACACACATGCATACTTGTTTAATGAAAAATTTAATGTGTATACACGTGCTATGGGGCATATATAGGGACCAGAAGACAATTTGTGGGAGTCAGTTCTCTCTTTCCACCACAAAGGCCCAAGTAATCAGAAGCTTCTCAAGCTTAGCAGCTCCAAGCTTTCACCAGTTTTTGTTGTTGGCACAGGGTTGTTGTTTTAATATCCCAGGCCAGTCTCGAATTCACCACATGGCTAAGAATGACGGTAAACCTGAAATACTCCTGCTGCCACCCTCCGAGGTGAGGGGTTCCAGAATGTGACCCCATACTGATTTCTGCGCTGTCCCAGCACTCTGCCTCCCTGAGGGCTGGGGTTTACAGGCATGAGCGACGGCGCCTGGCAACCCAACATTTTCAACTATAGTTCCTACAGACTCAAGGCAGGCAGTGTGGGGAAGGGTTGCATTTGGACAATAAGTCAGGCCCGGACGAACATGCTCCACCCTGGCCACAGAGCATTTGGTGAGAATACCCCACAGCTGTCCAGACGTAAGAAGCTGAAACAAGAGGGTAAAAGATGTGCTTGAAATCCATGATGGCTAATTTGAAAAACGCTGCTTCTAAGGTTTGTGGGAAAGTCTTTCCCCATAGCATTAGGCAGGAGGAAGTGAGCAAACAGGGATTTAAGTTCCATCAATTGCACTTGTGCTCCACTTGGCCTAGCAAGGTGACTTAATGGGAAGAGGCGCTGGCTGGGCCATCGTAGCAATCTGAGCTTGAGTCTTAAGGCCCTACTGAAGGGTGGAAGAAGGGAGCCGACTCTGGAGAACTGTCCTCTGACCTCCATATATATGCTGTGGCATGGGAGGCCAGGCCCCCATAATGTTTGAGTATATATATGTATTATCTTCCCAATCTTCTCATTTACAGAGGCCCTTAACCTTTTGAACTATTACGGTCACCGGCTCAAGATCACATTGACACAGGATTTCAACTTTTTTTTTTTTTTTCAGTGTGCCACCTGGACAATTCTACTTATAGTCCTGGTGACCTGGTCCCACTCAGTCATCCCACAGCCTGGGAAGCAGTGCCTACATCAAACAGGATCCTTTCCCACAGAGAGGAACCCCCACCCAAGCCTATGTCTTCTGATGTCGGTCTTACCATGGTCAGTAGTAGAGTAGTAGCAAGGCAATGAGAGCAACTATTTTAAGGTCCATTTTGCCAGTGCCCTCCCCATTCCAAGAAATTTGTTCTGGACTTCCATCTGTGACATAACCAGATGAATTGTGCAAGCTGGTCCTGGATGTATCAGGCTTGTTTCTACACCTCTCCACAGCCAAGCATCATCACTGATTCATTGTTTCACTTTCTCTTCATCCTTCATTAAACAGTGCTTCCTGGAAATAGTTTTTCTCCCCATCTACGCAAATTTCAACGCGGAAACCCAAATTCTTAAAAGGAAAAATAAAATAAAATAAATCCCAGCTGTTAGGGAGACAGAGGCAGGAGGATCTTGAATTCAGAGCGGCCTGGTTGACCGAGGGAGTCCCTGTCTCAAGAGCAACCACATGTAGCTGGGGAGGTGGCGTGGTGGGTGGGGACGCAGAGCAGACAGGAGGACTGCGTGGGCCTCTGCACACCTGTAACTGCAGCGTTGGGGGGCGGGGGGGGGGGGCTAGAGGGTCACTGAAGCTTGCTGACTGCCGGTCTCCTTCAAGTCCGGTAAGAGACCTCATCTTGCTAGGTGTGGTGATGTGCGTCCTTAATGCCAGCACTCATGAGGCAGAGGCAGGGAACTCTCTGTGAGCCAGCCTAGTATACAGAGCAAGCATCAGGCTAGCCAGAGCTACATAGTGAGACCTGGTCAAATAAACAAACAAGGAATAAGAGAATAAAGCAGAATAAGAGAATAAAGAGTAAGAGAATAAAGCAAAGAACAGGACCGTACATACATGTGATTCTTTGACCATCCCACGCGCACGGACACGGACAGGCACACCTGTACACACGTGTGCATGTAACAGCAGAATTTTAGCAGAGCCATCGTATCTGGTACGAATTTCCGAGTGATGGCACCTAGGCTCTGACATAGCCTTTTGTACACAGTGATTGACATCTGAGACTTACCGAGTTGTTCTTCCTGAAGGATTCTCAGAGCCCTTGCATAACTTAGTCCTGAGATATGCCTAGCAAGCCAAGAAGTCTCCTGTGGCTGAGAACTGCTTAGGGGATGGTTTCTTCAGACAACTCATAGTTCCGAGAAGAGGTTTCGTATAGGAAACTGACTTGCTAATTGTGTAATTCAGAACACCAACATGTACATATATCACACGCACACAAATGGTATTTGGCTAGGGTTGGGCTGTATCTCAGTGAATAGAGCACTTACCGATCATTCATGATGCCCTCAGACAGACACACACATACAGACCCAGATAATAGCCGAGCCAGACATTTCATTTTTGCCTTAGTGTCTATAATTTTTAAGTCTCAAGGGTTTTCTTGACTGGTTATTCTAGAGTTATGTTTATGTGATTTTTAATACATTTTCATTCACCCATAAAATTTGAGTGTTTACTGGGTACTTAGAATTTGCCCAGCACTGCTCAGAACAGGCAGGACACATCAATAAACTATATAGACAAAAATCCCTGCGTACTCATATTCTGGTGGCAAGGCCAGCAGTGAACAATAATGTAATTAACAATAGAAGACTTGTCGAGTATGTCAGAAGCTGGTGCTGCAGAAGAGTGGACTAAGACAGCAGGAGTAGAGAGAGATAGAGTCGCCATGTTGGGTAGGATGGTCAGGACAGGTCTTTGAGAAAGCTGACATTTGAGCAGAGATGAAGGAGTCATCAGTGTGGTATAGAGAGAGGAAGCAAGTCCTGCTAAGCAGAAGAATGCCTGGAGTTTCGAAATAGCAGGAGGCTTTTGCTCACACTGTGAACCCCAAGATTGTGTTGTTTCCTGGAAAAACCAGCTTCTAGTTGTGCTACCTGTCAGCCCTAGCATACACTTTTACTCCAAAGCTTTCTGCTTGAGTATTGTAAACAGAATTAAAGTTAACCCTGGAACAAGAGGCAGAGCAAGCAACCAGCTGACTGAGGGAACACAGAAAAAAAAACCATACAGAAGAAGTCAAGAGGACATACAGAGACCCACAGGAAGTAGAAGGGAGGGACATTCAGTTTGAAGGTTGT